GAGAAGAACTCAGAAAAGAAAGCTGAGAAACTCTCATAATGCCTAACATGTTTCCAGCCGATAGACTTTTCCTATTTGATATAAAGCGAACGAACGAATACACACAGCGAGTTGCGGTTCGCCTAGCTCACTGGCTTCTGCGATAGAGGTTAAGTAGTGTTCATTACTTCATCGACTAGGGATTAAAACAAATGCCGCCAAAGCTCCGAGAGTAAAGACTAGTATTTGTCGCATTGACGAGGAGAAGCCTAGTGAAACTGAGTCACACAAAAACACTGGACACCGTGTTTGTCTGCGACGCGCTTTATGGCCGCTTAGGAAAAGAAGAAGAGATGACAGGACAAGCTGTATGAAAGGGAAAAAGAACGAAAAGGTAAGCCTAACGCCTATTTGAATGAAATGCATTTGTACCATCCATGGCGCACATCTGGTGGGCGAAGATAGCCTACTAAATAAACGAGCATGCAATAGGTTGTAATGCACACGCGTCAATAGTAAGCCATCCATCAGGGTGGTGATTAGACCATCTGCTGTGTCATCCCATCATCACGGTTTGTTTAACGAGACATAGACAACTACAAGGAGGTTTGTTAACGTGGCCTAGGTAGAAGCCATCACTGGCGTTTGAGTCGTTTGACTTGAAGAACCGAAAATCTGTTAGAAAAAATGTTTATGCCGTTAGTTATTTCGCCTGATCTATTATTGCCTACGCCTAGCAAGTCTAGCAAAGAGGTGGAAATTGCGGTTCGGTTCATTTAGGATTCAATTACCCACATTACGCATGTACTTTTTATAAAAGCTATTTTTTTATTACATTAAAGGCGAGCGTTGGCCATTTTTAACCAGTGATAAGGTACACGTTAACGTCGACGGACTGATATGTTTACCAAAAATCGGCGGTATCATCACGTTACCCACAGGATCTAGAGGAAGATTTTTCTTACAACCTGGGGATCCTCAGATACCTTTCTATAATTGTTCGGTCTTTGTTTAATTTTATCTTTTTATTTTATTTTAAGCACTATCAATAAAATTTCAATACACTTATAACTTACTTTAATACGAACTGCACAATAATAGTCAGATGACTCGGGGCATAATTTCCTTAACCGTCTATTTTGTTTTTTGATCCATTTAGATGTTCTTTTTTTAAAAGAATTGCTTTATTTCTTTGCCATATTTATATGGTGAACACGAACCAATCAACGCATAGTCCTTTGTCAAGAACTTGCCTGATCTGATTTAGGGATGCCTCAAATTGTTTGGATCGCCAAATTCAATAGTTCTTCCGATAATGCGTCCTCTGCCAGATGGTACATAATAAGCTGTTTCTGAAAAACACTCAATGCGGCTGGCAGCTAAAAGAAATGCTAACAAACAGGAGCGTATTTAGTTTTTCAAGAGATCGCGGGGAGGCGGATCAGGGCTCGCTGCTAACTTCAGAGAGCCGGACGCCTGATCGATCAGAGCGCGAGGGATGATCATCTAAAGAACTGATACGACTGTCTGGAGACACGTAAGGATCCGGTTATTCTCTTTTGTGCGGTTGGCGATTTGGAGAATGCTAGATATATTCTACTTAAACAAATGCGCTTAGAAAGGTTAGTCGAAGAGTGAATGATGATATCACAAAACAATCCCAAGCCGTCGGACGGATAATGTTGATCAGGACATCTAACACCGATGGTACTATGAACAAGATTAGAGTATATTTTGGGTTGTTAAAAAAGTATTAACCGTATGTCCAGTTATATAGCTTTAAATAGATAGAAATTTCAGATAATATGAGTTGTGTCGGGTCGCCGTGGGTGTCATTTAGAAGCTGACATTCGGCACTAGTAAATATATAGAATATGAATGAGATTTCTGCAAAAACTTGCTATTTTATACCATTTTATGACGATAAAGACATAAACGAGATCTAGGCCATAAAATATTTGCGCTGTTTATGGTCAAAGTTCGTTACTGGAAGAAATAATTCAAGGGTGATCTTGTCGCCTTTGCTGGAGGTTTCGTTGTAAAAGACGTTTCTCATAATAATAGGCTGATTTCACAAAAGGTTCATCACATTATGGGGAAGGTTGAGTAGGACCGACACGTGAGTTACATAAGAACAAAGCATTTACTATCAGATAGGTTTCGACGATTTGGGGACAACTGGCTGCAAAGGAAACCCGATGATTGGGTGCCACATGAACTGATGTAAACGATTTTTCCCAATCGTATTTCCGTCCGCCAAACTCTACAGACCCACAAGCGAGTTTAGCCATTTTTAAAATGGTTAGTCGCGGGTGGTGAAACGTAGATCACATACGACAATTGAACAAAGCTGCTCGGCAAAGCATGGTTTGAGGTCAATGCAAGTGATGCTGTGTTTTGTGAAATAGGGAAGCTATATCTGTCGCCTGACAAAGCAATTGATTCGAGTCTCTATGGAGGATTACAGTAAATCACTACAAAAATTTATAGGGACTAGTAGACGGTAAAGGCGTCGCCTTCCACCATGATAACGTCAGGCTACATTGAGAGAATTTGAATAGGAAATTATTGGACCCGCCATATAGCGCGAGTCTTGCACTATCAGATTATCAACCAGTTTGTTCTCTGCAAAACTTTCTTAATAATCTCGATCTAGTTCCAATGGAGAAATGCAAGAATAACTTGTGGCAATTTTTCGCTTAGATACCTACAGAAGTTCTACAGTCGCAGAATTATGATGTAACCAGAAAAAAGGAGGGTCTTGGCTAAAATTGCGCGTATTTCGTTTAGTGATGTTATTTTAAAAAGTGGGGGAAATTTGCTTCAACTTAGGCTTAAAAACAGTTAAGACTTTTCCCACAATCAAATACATACGAGATTCGTGAATGAAATAGAGATATTTGGTAGCAAAAGCTCGCAACGAATCCATTAACTTAAATAATCAGGACAAAATCATACTTCCTTAGTAAATGAAATACCTCTATGACATATTTGATAAGTTGGTATGGGACCAATAAATCGGATAATTTTACTAAAGTACTTATTTGATATTGTAATAGAATGTGAGATACAGTTAGCAAGGCCTCAGCTCATACACGGACAAACCTGAACCGCCAGGGGTGTCGGGTCTAGCTCCTGTTCACGCTAGCAGGCATAAAAGGGGAAACCAAAAGTATCTTCATTGTCGACCTACTAAATGCTGGCGACATTCTCGTGCTGTTTGGCTTGATTGTTAGGCTCCACGGCCTATTCAAATTAACCGTCGGTATTCCTCGTAGAAATTTTTCTTTTTGCCTTAACCGTGCCTTTGAAGCCTAATATTTATTTTTAATTCCAAATCCATCGTCGCATAATACAGAAGTGGTAACCCTTCGATTTTGATATTTGATTAAATGAACGCGACGATCTGCACCAAATCGATTTATCTATCTATATAGCACGACTGCAAAATTATCCTATGTTTGTATCGTTTTTTTTTTCAACTTAATTTCCACCTATGTTATTAGAGCTACCCTAAGCAATGCGAACGATTCAAATGCTGTAAAAAATGCCCTTCTTGTTCCATTCCTGTATGCTTTGATGGAAAGATTAGTACATTGGCTAGAAATATTTTCCTTTAGTTGCGTGTTTGTGTACAGCATTCTATACATTATGACGGTTTGTTTGACGCTTAGATCTTTTCTAGGCTTCTAGTTGCTGATAATCAATCATGGTCACTCCGATAACCGCGATGAGGCAAAACTAGAACGTGAGGTTGATCGTGACCACTAACAATCAGAATGAATGCTGATTAAAACGTATCCCACTGAAGGAAAACCAATCCAGATAAGCTTGCGTTACGAGTCTTATTGGTTTAAGCTGAGTTGCTCAACAAATCTAACATGAGATTTTCTATTGATGATCAATATTTAACGCTTAACTTGTGCCGTCATCGATTTGCATTTGCCTACTTGGCCCCTTTCCACTCTTCTCACCCTCTTCCATTTTTCCAAGGGGGTCCTATTTCTGGCACCGTTTGTCGGCCACGGACAACGTGACGGACAAGAACACAGTGGCGCTGCGTTGAGTGTATCGCTGCCAAGAACTGCAGTTGAATGAAGCGCGGATGGCTGCTTAAAGGATTATGCCCTGACTTCGTTGTATCGTGTGAGATGGTGCATACGAGGTAATAGCTATGGCGACGTAAGACTAAAAATTCTAAGCTGCATTTTATAATAAATTATGATTAAAAAAACTTAAATGCCGTTACGGAAGGGCGGTCCAAAGTATAATCTAAGACTTACACGAACCTGGAATGTAGAACCTTTTCCAGTCGTTGGCTAAAAGTAGTAGATTGCTATTGAATGAAAATTGTCAAATTATCACAGGGGTAGCTACGCCCTGTACTGTTGCAAGAAGCATAAAAACGAGTTTTGAGTCACTATAATAAACAATGCAACTCATTTCGGAATGTTTCAAAATGCGAACCGTTTCAGATTACTTATGTGATTTATTAATTGGGGTGAGCGCGTACTTCACCCCTCTTTTTTTCATTTTAGACTTACCCTAATTCATGTGTCATGTTTAGCAAGTATTTGCTTTATGGTGCCTTAATCAGCTGAACACCCCACTAGACCAATGCAGACTAACACACAGATGCGGCGGCTACAATCGTACATACAAACCCAATTATAACCCTAATATTGCGTTTACTACGGAACGCTCGTTGCTGGTACACTCATGTAACAACATTAATTGTGCCTATTAGAAAAATTAAGCCAGCATTTTTAGAACACTGTGTGCGCGGCATCTGGTACCTCATTACCTCAATTCGAGAAAAACGGTCCCTTAGCGACAGTCTACATTACATACTCGATCTAACGCCTTTCAGACAATAAGAGAATATTATACGTATATTTAAGGCACGATAAAAACGTATACCTAATATCAAAAAGATACAGTACTATTACCGTTGCGCGCAGCAATTCTGATAAGCAGTTATAGTCGAAAAGCTCCGTCGGTTTACTCGTTCCAATCCGATCCATATTGTGACGTCCGCTGCGACCTCAGGCGTCAATCGACTGCTAGAATTCGACGTTGTGAAACGGCTACAATGAAAATCGGGGAGGAGATCTCTCGCGGTGGATGAATAGGTGGGTAATGTTCGTAGAGGCTGTGAATTTAAAAATGAGGCCAACGCAATCGGGCTAGGAAAACAGGACACTCAAGACGAGAAACGTGCATTTGTGTCATTGTAGGCGGTTGTGAAGTCAGCGGAGCACCGTTTTCGGCTACGCCGAACGTATAACCAGTGACGCTTTATACCTGATAGTTAGGTCACGTCCAAAGCATGCCACTGTACCTTTTGTATCGGCGCTGCGGATGCGAAAAGAAGAAAAGTTCATTTGTGTTAGAAGGGCCAGATTGTTCGTGAGTTCGAGACGAGAGGGCTTTTGTAGACGAGCGGAACGCTACCTTAAGGTAAGATGTTAATACGTCCTAATTTCGAGAACTATGTACTTATATGTGAACCTTTAGCGAAACGCTAGATAGACGTCAAAATTTTAGTACTCAGCGATTGAAGAGATCATTTTATTTTTATCGCCTTTTTCATGAGTCTTTGATTTTCATCGCCTGACGTCGCCATATCGATGACAGATAACTGAGCGTCATTGATTATGGCCTGGTATTACTTTTACTATACTTGTATTGTTTTTATCAAATCTATGTCGATTATGAACGTAACCGTAACTCGATGTAATTAGCATAGGATAATTTACCAGATACAAAATAATTTTGTTGGAATAGTAATATAGAAGAGGTAAATGGCCTATTTCTTCATGACTATTTATTCCATAGCCAAGCGTATAATACGTTATATCTAAAATATGTATTTTTTTGAGCTTTCTGATTTATACTGCCAAGTCAACATTCGAAATTAGACCCGTTCTGCATGACAGTATTAGAAAATCTAACAGAAAAACTTAGAAAAAACCAACTTGTGAAAATGTATACACGTCACCTTCGTTGTATACATGCTCCCTACGACGCGCGTCGCTGTAGCAAACCATGCAATACATCTAGAAACCATATTAACAACTATTAACCATAGAAACCTTTCCTTCTCTTTGAGCTAAACGTCTGTTAGGCAATCCTAAGACTTTACAGTCTCACTTTCTCTACGCCTTCTTTTGGCGTATGTGTTTCGAAAGCTTATACGTACGTCTGTTCTCAAATCTGTTTTCGGCTAGGACAAGCAAGTTTTCCACGAGGTAATCCCCTTTTCGAACACACAGCACTTGGGTTCAAACATCCTTCGCCAAGTTCCGATATCCGACATTTTACTGAGCTAGCTACGCCCTCGCTCGCTACCTGCATGCCAGCCAAGCAACGAAAGAGCAGCGCTATTGCAATACATACTGTCTGAAGGATAACGCCGTTTCGGTCAATCTGTCCGGGTATTGCCGGCGCTGGTCCCAGCAACTAACCAACGACCAAACTCAATTTGTCTGCGAATTTTATTTTACCTCTGCTTCGGCTCTTCTGCAAATCAGCAGCAGCAGCAGCAGCAGCAGTAGCAGCAATAGCATAGATACGACGACATGCAGCTTAGACTCTGGCGTACATCGCAGTTGTTACAGACGCGGCGGTGGCCGGGCATAGAATGATACCAGCCGCCATAGCATTCCCTTACTGGCGGACATACACAATGGGATTCCACTGCGTATGGTAGCTGGGTGAAGGTAGCTATATAATGTTTACGCGAGGTTTTACGGTCCCTCTCTTTGGGCTCGTTGCGGAAACGGACTGGGCCCTTACGAAACGGACCGGTTCTGACATTGGTGGGGTGGTGATGGGAGAGATAGCGCCAGCGATACAGTATTAGTTGGGGGGCAGCCTTGGCGCCAAGAGTCTATTCGTGGCACTGCCGTGCAGCGAGCCCACCAAAGCGTTTGGTACGGTGGCGTTCTTTAAGGCAAAACTCGCAAAACAACACCGAAACCTTGGCGGCGACGTATGAGGCTTCGGGCCGCCTTTAGGACCGGGCCAAGGCGACCCTCAGACCCATTGCAAAATTACAGCATACGTTGGAGTTCGCCGCTTGCTTGCCACGGAGTGTCTTGTTCCCTAGAGGAACAGATGAAACTGCCTGCCCTCGGAGGCACGACTTCTATTGCGGCCCTGCTGGACGAGCCAAAAAGGGAGTTTGCTGGTTTTGGAATCGGAACTTGGTTCGCTGATGCTCTTGACTGCCGGCAGTTCTAAGCGAGCGAACATAACAGCCGCAGCTGTTCGACTCGGCAGCCCAGTTCTTTTTTTCGAGCGTAAAATTCAATCACCGCTTAATTGACAGTGGATGGTTTTCACTCGAGGTAAAGCTTTCGCTGGCCGATCCTCGAGGACGTCATGATTCCAGCGAGCGCTCTCTATGTGCTGCTGCGTTGCGATGCGTTCGTACTATGTCCGATGCTTCAGTACAGCGAGGGTGTGCAGGAAGCATGTGAGGGTGCTAAGGAAAGAGGAAGGTTCATTCGAATCTCGAGGAATGCAGTTCGAAGTCCCGGAAGCGATTCCAAATCGAGCTTCGCGCTGAGAAACGATTTACAGCTCGGAGTCAGCAGTCAGGCGAGTCGGGCTTAAAGGAGATCGTGGGCGGACGACTATTAAAGGTGCATGCAGGTTGCCCGCGAGTTGTTCTCCTGACGGCGATAATGCCTCTTCCAATGTGACGTGGAGCAAGAGGCTGGTGGGGCACACTTCATCCAGGCATTTTGTTTCGATAGAATTGGCCAGTATGCCGTCAGGATCCTGATAACGCATTTCAATGGAGAAAAGATATATTACTGCAACATGTATGTATATATACTATTAAATTACAATAATTACGTCACACCGTAACCGTAATATATATGAAATCAGCACTGTCAACGGCACGGACAATATTGTCCATTATGAAGACCTAATGCTGAAAATGTCAAATTCTTTAAATTAAAACACACGCGTAGTACGTAATACGTATTCCCTTTTACGGTACACTGTTAGCGCCGCATTTATATAAAAATACACTGAGCAATAAAATATAAGTAATATATCTTATATAAATGATGATCACTCATTAATATGTTGTGTGAGTTGTAACGTTCATACGCGTAAAAAAAACCAGAGGCTTAGGAGTTTACGGCTTGAATGCTATCTACGAGAGAAACGGTATATCAGGCTTCCGGCAGGCGACGGCGTTAAGGTGCTATCTGCTGCATGGTATTTGTCACGACTCCTCTTGCGTCTGCTATAAATGTACCTCTCGTTAGGTTCATGAGAGCATGCGTCTGTACATGATTTGTTGTGAAAGCCGTAAATTGCAAAGCAGCTAACGTCGTAGCGGTCCGGTCCAGCTATTTTCACCTATATGCATGTAATATATGACCATTAAAAAAATGTGTCATAAATATACTAGTTGTTATTAGAAACCATCAGCCGTACGTGGTAAGAACACGAGGCATTGACAATTGACTACATTTTAGACAGTACTATGATAACGTTCTCAGTTAAATGTAAACAAAATTGGTACATTTAAATAAAAGTTATTATTATTACTTTTTATCCAATAGCTAACAATAGCAACGCAATAGAATTGCGGTTTAATTTTATTTATATAATATATATTTCAAAATACTCTATTATATTATCTATGAATACTGAGTATTACATAAGCAAAATTTTAAAATTATATGTATATATACTAAAGTGGTAGATTAAATAGTTCTAGAAAAAAATAAATGTCTATAAATAATTTAAAAGCTATTACTACTTCGACTACTACAGCGCCTGATTAAACAAACCAAACAAATAAAAGTTAACCCATATACTATACGTATATATTCTTCAGAACGACTACTTTTATACTTAAACCATAATTGTACAATATATTTTTCGTTTTCTCATTAATTTGTTTCCCGAAATAAATCAAAAGAAAAATTAACCAAAGAGAATATGATGGAAAAACATATAGGGTTCGCAGTGCTGACCTTGCACTATGAATCTAGAACAGTAACTCCTAGCATACCACTATTTACTTTCGTATCGAGGAGAGCAATGTCGGCTAAAGGCTTATTAACACGTTGTTCGACAAAAGTTTCCGTTATCACTATGGCAATCACCGAACAGGGAGGCCAAGGTTTTCGCTAACTGAGCCCGCCATCTAAGGCAGCGTCAAGTCATCAGCAGTCTTTATGCTCGTATCCTGTCGACATCATGCATGGAAGTGGTATAGCCTTCGCAGGACGAGAAATTGCGGTTCCTTGCCAAGCTCCTAGACGATCCGCCCATTCCCGAAACAACAATAGGCCTTTAAATGCGGATTGTGAGAGCCGTTCGAAGATATGAAAGTAACAGAAGCATCGTTGGATTTTTCTGTTTTGCGAACATCATCACAATGCCCTTATTTCGTTTTATTTTGGTCCATCATTTGCTGCTTAAATGTCAATCTAAGTTTTTTAGAGGGATTCTGTTTGTGGACTCGGGCCACTACCGCAGCTGACCATTGGAGCGCCTTTTCATCGGAGGAGCGGGTGGCTCATGATGACACTAGCGTCCCGACGATATCATCATGGAGCAGGAACTTTCTTTTTTTTGGGGCATTCGGTCTTATCTTAACACGTGGACAAAGAATTGGATATTTCTTTCTTTTTACATGACGCAGATTCTGTACACAGAGGAACTAAGGATTTGCGCTTGATGCTCACCTTCCGCCTGAGTTGACATTCAGCTTTTTAAAAGTACTCATACGAATTATATACAGCCCGTTAATAAATGGCGACTTAAAAATAACCACAGGGAAACTCCTGTGAGGTGCTTGACGCGTCACCGTATGGACGTGTATTTCGCAACGGCAGGCAGTATTAATTCATAACCGCGAAATAATATAAAGGCGGCACTTTCAAAATCTTAACGTAGTAACATGTACATGAGACTCGGAGATTCTCTTTGGGATCGTAAATAAGCCCTGACGTAATTCAAGATATTCAACCGCACTGTCACTTTGCGCATTATGCGGTTACCCGTTTTACTAGTTCCCTTATCCATTCTACGTATCTCCAGTGGCGTTAACATTATACGACGCGCCAGGTCTCAGAATATTATTGTATGAGGAGAAAAGCGTAAATTAAAATAGTGCTCTCACTCCGTTCTTTGGGTCTTATGTGGTACGCATACGCCTATACGTGTGTAAGATGGCGGCAGGCCAGGGCTATGCAGGACAGCGCAAACTAAGGCAGATCCAGAAAAGCGAAAACCGCAGTCGTCGAGAGCAGTTAGCTTGAGGTTTCAGAGAAATGCGAATCGACTTCTACTGTTGGATTGTACGTTGGGTGGGGCATTGATAGAGAGGAGTAAGAGGAAGAGGACATAGCGGAGGAGGAAAACCTTCTCTCTTCGCTGACACTTGTCCAAAAGCGAAGCCTCCTGCAGACAGATACGAACGAAGAGAGGGCAGCGTGGGAGATAACAATTGCGCGCTGTATCGTAACTGCAGCGGTAGCCGCCGCGTCGCCGTTGTCGCTTGTAAAACGATTCTTCGTTTCTTCTTCGAGTTCGTTCGTGGTAGCGTTGAAGCCCTTTTCTTGTACACACGGTTTCATCCCCCCTTCATCTCTATCCACTTTTCCGTTCCTGCTTCCGATTCCTGTGTCTAGGCCCTATTTTCGAAAAGGAGGAAGAACTGGGGCCAAAAGTGGGCAAACGACGAAATGTAGCCGGCGACTAGGCTGTAGCTGGTCCTGATACAATGGCCCGAGAAGGGAATATCAGGGTCCTAAGAGGGGAAACGGTGCTTCACCCGTGCCATTACTGGCTTCGTTGTGAAACGGATGCCCTCGGCTCCGCCTCCGCCTGGGGAGACAGATAAATACCGTCCATTCTCGACGTCGTACTTCGTCCTTCTCTCTTGCACATTTTTAGAGCCCCCATACCTCTCACAGTCTGCGTTGTACTCGCCTGTTCAGGCAGGCAGACACTTGCAGATTTCGTTCAAACCAATAGCCTCCAGGAAGCTCTTTGCAGAAAGCGACAACGCGAAGGAAACGGGCGTAGGTAGGTGGCAGAAACGGAGCCTCTATTCGCTACCGATTCTGCGCTATCGTCATTTTATTGAATTGGGTGGCCATTGCCGACACCGATGACAACATCGCCAGCATCGGGGGCGCTAGCATCGATGATGATCGTTGCATGGATCAACAATGGACGAGCAAGACATGGAAAGCAGAGCAGATCAATGGAAAGCCTTGGTTGAACGCAATGGTAGTACACGAACCTGCATAGACATAGTAACAACATTATAGTCATTGCAAATATTCACACGTCAGTAAAGATGCGGAGGTGTTCGTGTACGTAAATTCATGTCGTGACAAAGGAACTTTGGCTAGCTGTAGTCGGAATTAGGCGCGTGGACCAGCCGTTCTGATTTTGTAAGCTGACCAGTTTGAAAAGGTAACTAGCTTCTAAGAACGTTGCATTTGGCGCCGACATGTACACGTTGCACCTGTATCTGAAACGCTCAATAAATTTAGTTCTGCCCCACCTATTTTGGTACCTTTAATTTCGGACGCCTGTTGTTGATCAGAGTTGACACCGTTAGTGTTGATTGCGTTTCGGTTTCTGAGCTTGTGTTGTCATTCATTAATGAACCAGTGAAAAAAATCTTATTTGACAGACGAAAGCCTCATTCTTTTGTTATGGCTGTTAAAACTGCGCGTTGTAAACACTATATGACGGGTAACACTGCATCAATGCTTATCTTGTCTGCATGTCAATGATGCGGCCGCGTTGCGTACAGCATTATAGTAACTCCCCGATATCTTCTATATCGAAAAATTATACCCCACTTGTCCAATCCCTCGTATTGATTAGATGTTTGTCTCTGCAGAGATACGTGTGTACTTTTTGGCTCGACCATTTTTTGCACCAGCGCATGAGATGTAGACCTCTCTAATGAAACAGAGCATTGAGCAGGCTCGATGGGAAACATGAAATAAGGTTTATCTTACTACATTTTTTTATTATACCTGAGTGTTACATATAGTCGCAATGTAAGAAAGTGAGGAACCAGTTTTCTAGTGATGAAGAAATAAGAACAAAGAAAAACAGTTCACGCCTACAATTCATCTGAAAACGCTAGTACATAACTAGATCAAGTATACTTCTATTGAGCCGTTCGAAATGGTGTTTATTAATAAACAGACATTATTAACAGCTATTATTATACTTTTGTTTTTCCAATATGATTTCGCTATGCGTTGATGTTGGTTTAAGCGAAACCTGTATAAGTTGCTTTCGCAGACAAAAACTATAGGACGCTTTGTACATGTCCTCGATGTTTTTAAAAATAAATTACAATAACGGTCATAATCATCGTAGAATTAGAAACGTTTATAGCTCTATCCGATTGTTTGCCCTCACGTATCATTCATCCCACTCTCAAAACAGTGCACACTATAGCCACATTATAAACTAAGGACATTATTGAACTTGCTATAAATGATATCTAAAGTAGAGCCGAATTGCAAAGCTACTGGTTCATCTCATGTTCATTTTTCTAACGCCCGTCTGACTGCCAGTCGTCTGGGTACTATCCATCTGCACCTACGGCTGCGCACACTTTCAACGAAAAGTTCTTCATAAATTGGGGCTCATAGCTTTGGGTGTTGGTGTACTCCTGATGTCGATTGTTCATGACATTTGCACTGACTGTTCGGTCCCACCTGACCTGCTGCTCATTCTGCCGGCCGGTGTTCAGTAGCGTCTTATGTCGTGTAGTTGAGGTAGCCCGTATAACCTTGCACGACACCCGATATCTCTCCAATAGATATCCGTGTGACCGGGCATGTTTCTGTTTGTGTGTCAAGGAGTCTATATGTCGGCCATTCGTGGTGGCTGGGTCTGGACGTCTGCCTGAGGCTCGTCAATCGGTCGACTCCCGCCTCGATGGTGCAGTGCGATAGATCTCTTAGCCATCACTATCCGCAGCCGCCGCTGCCGCCGTCCTTCTATCCAATCCGCCGCCATAAACATCATAGCTCTGCAGGGTCAGACTAGCCCAGACATACACAGGCCGGTGTTTTCGATACTTGCTTTCGATATCTGCCACTGCGACCCCTGTACTGCTGCAGATGTCGTTATTGCTGTTCGCCCCTGCTGAGGCTGCAGCTAGCGCTGCCGGCGTGTGACCAGCTGCTCGGAAGATCACTTATACAATTAGTTTCTTCGCAGATATTTCTACCTCAGTGGCAACGGGAACCACGGGAGCCGGAGGTGCGACAGCAGCTAAAAGACCGATCGAGTAAAACGGCACTGCGGCAACAACTCGTTTTCTCGTGCAGTGTCCCAGGAGCTACCCATGCACAGGTGCCCACATGTTGGGTCGCATAGTGGAGATGAGTGATGGGTCAGCCTCACTTTGCGTCAGTGCTAAGGCTGGTCCACTAGTTTCGCTTAGTCGGTTTTGATTAGTGAGTGATTTGATCGCAGCTACTTAGTCTTTCATCTCCTCACTTGATTCATATCAGACATTGGCTGTCACCCATTGTGAGTCTCTTTTAGAAAGATGTTGAAAAATTCTTGAACGATCTCTTAGATCGCTCAATGTAGACCTCAGCCTACGCTGCATGGATCATCATTAGCAAAGGTATATATGAAACTGATGACTCCCGATGCTCTAAAGGCCATCTTTGTTGCTATTCCACAAATCGTAGATATTTTTTGCTAAGGAATCTATCAATGTTGTTCGAAACGACTAGCTTTATCGCGTAGGTATTGGTATAGCATCAGTCGAATTACCCTTGTATGCAGCGTCATTTACTAGGCGGCATAACAATATATTCACATGAAACAAAATACTAATGCCAGTCGTGACAGACTACTTACAATATGACTATAAATTAATTTCTATACATTATATCATAGCTAATTGAAGTATCACTAACCGCAAATCGTGTTCGGGCCTTTATATATACTCTACATAGATGTCCTCCTCGGCCCCAGATTCTGCTCCGAGGAGTAATGTGAGAAATCCTTTTAAGGAAATATTGGTCTATGAGGGCCGTTCACGACCTGTGTTAATCATCCTGATGAATGGACTACTTTATTTTTAACGTGGATGAAAAGGTTGCTAGGTTTGCGTTCTTAATACGTGACAACAGCGACCTTGTCGCGCGTTCTAACAGGTAGCCGAAGTGCATGCTTCAGTGTATTGAGACAAACTTCTCACGGCCGTCGTTCTCGAGTTGTTACTGCTTATTCCATGTCGGCCCAATAATTCGTGGATGATCATCAGCTTCACTCATGGCTCTACATTGAAATCATATATGCGTTATATGCTAAATGAATGTGGGTAAAATAGTTGTGGCTTCAAATCATCATTCGATAATGTAGCTATAGTGATAATAGCGTGTGTACCGATTGAAGAAAAAGAGTTTTTTGCATTGCTATCATGTTTTTTTACTGTATTTCCAGGAGTGAGAGCTTCTCATCTTTGAAAGGCAAAAGTAAAACTGAATGTCCTACAGCGAGCCTCGTATATGTTCACAGGTGTATGACGAATATCGACGGGAAGACCGGGACGGACCCAACTGAAACCGGACAGGCCCAGTTTCCTATGATGACCGTGCGGAGAATAGAAAACAGCGTTTCAGAATTAACTTTCTAATAAATTTCCCTTTTACAACTTTGAACTAAGCTGATCATCTGCTATTTGATCCGATGACCTGCACCTAGAGATTAGCCTCCCCATATATATAAGAGAACTGTGCTTGCCACGCAGTAGAACATTTCTCCGGCTAATGCACAGAGAAAAAAAAAAGCTAAACTTCTGCGATGTACAATAAGTTTGTCTCCTACTGCATTTGTTCGATCAAAATGTCTCAGAGCTGATATATATATAGAGCATAGCACACGAGCGAAGACGATAGCCTTCAAGAGCCACATGCGCACATCGCGACAGCCTATTAGACATGGGCTGTTACCCGCTAAAGGTACGCAGTATTATCATTATTTCAAATCTTCCATCGGGAGAAAACCGCATAAGCTTAACACACATTTGATTACATCATACGTCAACACAAACCTTTCCTTAATAACTGAACTAACGATTCGTCAACCTATTTCAATATATATATATATATATATGAAATGCTGTTTAACGATTTTAAGGTTTAACGACTGCTAGGTGCTAAAAAACTAACGTGTCTAACAATAACAGGGTTCTGTATAGAAAGACTAATGGCAGTGGGTTGGACGTAAGAAAAAAACCCAGTTTTTTTTGGGGGGTGAAGCTAACAATAACAAAAAATTACTTTCCCGTGTTGATGGATTATGTAAAAATAATGCCCTTATTCTCATAACATGTCGCGCTTAAGCTTATACTATATGCTTAATCCAATGGTTCGATTGCAGTAAGGTATATGGAACATGTGAGACCCGACAACGAGGATTTACATTAGGTAAAATTTGCAAAAAATAAAATACGTTCAAATCTTCTTGTAGTTACCTCAGAAAGATTTTTGAAAGTTTATCCTACAAACGTAACGCTTGGGTATAACATTGAACTAATGAAAATGATCACTAATATTTATCACACGCTTTCATTAAAATTAACTTAACCATTAGAATAAAAGTAGCGTGACTTATTAATAAGATATCTGGAAAGTGTCATGCAGGTAAAAAAAATGGTTAGTATTATCGATTATCTCCTTTTTCATTAGGTAATTTCATTAGGAGATTGGACTAGGTAGGGCTATGTAAGTCTAGCATTATTTAACGCTACCATTGAAAACAACTCTAGTCAAAGGTTTTGTTACTATGTGCCTTAAGTAGGCTCACTTCTTAAAGGAAGACGCCTATGTTGCTAGCTTATATAGTCTCATGAAATGAAATTAAATCGGCCAGTGATAGGACTAATTGGTCCACGAATGATTTCAAACGAAGATGTCAGTTATTTAAAACAACTAACGCCATGATTGTAGCTAGTGAAGTCAGTACATTGCAGTAATTCTGCGCTTCAAGATTATGATTCATCCGTCCTAGAGTCAGAAGAAATTTTGATGCATATTGCGGAGTTGGTTTTTGAATGGTCATACTTCTGGTACATCTACAAAATACATTTTGTCCAAAAAAAAAAAAGGCCAATTTGACCAGACTGATCACCGTATATATAACTACCATAATTATCCACGATTCCGGTGGGAATAAAGAGTTAGTTTTAACAGATGATTATGATCGTCCACAACGTAATGCTTTGTCAATACGACGCGTCGCCCCAATGAAGTCGCCTGATGAAGGTTCTACGATGTGTTAGTTTTACTTGCCACATACGCACATACGTGCATTGCTATTAAGCTGAGGTGTACTCTGAGGCCAGTTAGATATTTAAATTTCCCCGGTAAAATTTGCTTAGACGGCATTCGGATTTTAAATGCAGTGGCCTACATCCCCCCCTTCCCACGTAAAATGATCATGCAATGTAACCCAATCTTATGTCCCCTACACAACGCAATTTGCCTTCATTTTGTCTTTGAAAATGCAGCTTTTGAACAGACAAAACTGTAGTGAAAAGAAAGATGCTTTTTGTGTCGTTCAGTAAAAGTTTGTTAAAATGTGAAAAGTATACTCCCCTGTTCCGTATAGCCCCATATTTAGGCATTCGTTCGAAAAGGATCTAGTAAAGCCAATTGTATTACAGCCTTAAGCCGTATGCACCCAAGATATTCTGAACATTTAATAGTATTTTCAAGGGAAGACGCAGTGATCCGCAAACCTTCACGTGCCCCTACGCCCAGTAAGACCTAGTCTGCCAGTTAGGAAGTGGCAACTACTATTTTCGTGGTCGCTGAATGGTCTCCAACATAGCCAAAACTGCAATAAATCCTTGCACGTCTTAGCCAACAAACAACTAACAGGTAAACCTCATCGTCGTCGTTCTTGCTATCGCAGAGGGCTAGGCAGACCTTTTACCCCTTACAACTCGTTCAATTACGTCGCCACCCACCGCTGAGGTCACGGCTAACGATACCAATTTACTATATACTCACGTATACGGAGAAATGGTCCATAAAATCTGACAATGGCAGCCAGAATAGACGCTTTCTTGGAAGCTTGCAGGGAAAACAGGACAAAAAATCGAAATCACACCGCCGTGAAGCGACAGTTGGTATACGGATGGCATAGCAGGGAGGTGTATGCTTTCTTCTATTCCTTCTACTGCAGTACACGACCGATTGAAGCCTAGAATTAACGGGAGATAATTTCCTGGCCAGATGGGACCGATTCAACGCAGCTACGCTATGAGAATTTATCGAGGCACATCTTTTACTAGGGTGCATACAACTACTAGGGTATAACCTGCAACGTTCTCATCACCCAATGACATTCTGCCTGTTGAAGAAGTTCTACAGATCACTAAACGGCCTGCATGTACAAACTTTGTTTCGTCAAAAACCACCATGTTTTTCCGTACCTCATCTGAAACAGCACGTAAATTCGTCCTTGTACGTTTTGTGAATAGTCAATCATCCTTTCGGGCACGCAGAAGTATATCATTAGTACTGTAAATAGATATACATTCCTGAATAGTGCGCTATAGAGGAGGCTCTAGGAAGGCACATGTTGTCTGTTGCTGCGTACGGCGGTGATAAGTTGGGTGGGATATGCCAGTATCGTTGCATTTAAATTAAAAACAAGAAAATACTGAATTTGAAAATCTTCAAAGCAAACGTGTCTGGTTATCGGCTGCGGCGAGCATGGCCATCACAGTCCGTATGTTATATTATACAGCCTGTTACATTTGTCTGTAAAAACAATAGAAATCTCTATTACTCGATTTGTACTGTAGCTTCGACTTTGTATGATAACGAAACTTCTACAGAGCTTATATTTGTTTAATCATTGTAAGAAATACTGCTACATTATTGTGATTGTCTGCTTTGAGCGACACCGAAATCCTTTCTCGCTTACGATTTCAACATCAAGTTGCAAGCAGGGCTAAAGCATCTGTGGTTTCTGGTGGACTTAAATTGGCGGATCGTCGTCACTCGTTGTTGGTCAGCACGTCCTACACTCAACTTCAGAGAGCAGATGAGATTCATATATGTATTTATCTAAAGGGCAAAAGAAAACTATTATTGCTTGGGTAACGTTTGTTTCTAAGGAAGATTTAACCGACTAACCCTATCAGGCTAGCCTCACCTCGAGGACCAAGTTGGCTTTTTGCCAAGCGTGTGCCTGTGGTAACATGCACCGGAGTGTCTGTATATAGTAAGGTACAAAAATACGCCACACGACCGTTAACGCAGTAAAAGAAATGCCCAGCACCATATAGGAAGTGCAGTTTAAGAAGATAATTGGAGCTACGTTTCTCACCCGTTCGTACTGCCTTCCGCTCTTGACGTCATCCTCCTTATCGTGCAGGGAGCAAAAGACTGGATAGGCAGATACCGAAAACGAGACGGATAACGAACGTGGCGGAAAGAGTCAGCTCGCGTGCAGCAGGCACACTCGAGCAGAGAAGGCAACAGCGATCAAACAGTTACCATGCCGACTCATATGCTAAGGGGCACTCGCTGCCGAATTATATGGTAGATACGAGATCTTCCACAGACGTGTATATGCATAAAAAACAGGAAAGTGTAAAGATATGTATGCTAAAAAGTTAGAGCTGATGCCGACAATCAAGAATATATGATATATCTGACGCTATAAAATACTGTCCAATGATACACATTATCCCTAAATATGCCTTGCAAGTTCTACCTATTAAATAAGACCCCAATGTTCTTTTTGTATTCATTACCTCAAGTTATGACGAATTTTGTTAGAAGACAGCTCCTATCTATGTATATATACATAGTGATAGCTTAGCGGAGCGAAAACTAAACATTGGGTAGCCCACTGAGACCTGCTTTCAGTGCTATCTCAAAGGACTAAAAGATGTTATTTTTAGCCCGCGCTCTCGTGTTCTGGTTTTTTTAGGCTGTATATAGCGACAGTCCTACGGCAAGCAAACCTAAAACGTACGAAACATTTGAAACACGGATGATAGCAGATCATATCGCAAAGTCGTTTTGTCCCGTTTCAAAGATTGGTCATCGAAGCAGACTCTGCGGGAAAATCTAGCTCAACGATAAACTATCAGTGTATGCGTTACTAACGCCATAACCGGAAAAGTTCGCGCCGCCGATACGCCATAATAATAGGCATGCCAAAAATGAGAACACTTGTCTTAGTTTGTTTTGAAGTGAGGATTTTTAGGGGAAATGGTCAGTGCAAGGGACGATCTGGCGTATTTCTGCGGATTGAAGTTACCCGAAATAGCGCTGCATACGCCAGCAGCGTGATAATGTGAAAGCGGTCTTGCTCTCCGTCCATTGCGTCCTATATCGGCATTTCATCCCTTTTGAAATGCTGCGCAAGCCATCGCATAATAGATATTTTTGCTTATAATTATTTTGTACAGAATCCATATATAGATAGAAAAAAAATACATATATATATGTTAAAATGTCAGGCCGTTTTACCGTAAGTGCAAGCATTATTCTTCCAATACTTTAAGAAAAGCTTTGGGAAATCTTGAAACTCGAAGGCAGACCCGACTTCATGCTATATAAAATATGTCGATTAAC